GTCGGGGGAACTTAGTAAGTAGGTCACAAGTGGAGCCATACGACACCGAAAAGGGATCCTACTTATGACTCAAAAAAATACTTACTTAGCAAGTCCCCCACCTTCCAAGCATAACCGTTAAGACCCATACCCTAGCTTGGATTGAGCTCGGCGCGAGGCTTCTCTAGTCCTACACAGGCCTCCGAAACTAGAACAGAGCCCTGTGTCCCTAATCCCGTACGGTAAACCCGAAATTGCAAGAGCTTGAGCATGAAGGATGATTCATGCTTGGATCTTCGCTGCTTCGTAGTTCGGGCAAGGAGACAATTATAGGCCAACCTTCTAGCCTCTGCTAGAACCACCCCGACAATTTGTTGCAACTTACAGTAAGCAAAGTCACGATAATGAAACATACTGATCTCGAGTACAAGAAAAACACGTGACAAACGGCTTGGCCTTGCAAGCGTACCGTAGGTAAACTCTGTAACAAGGCCCATGTTGAACCCACTTAGACTCAGACTTCCTGTAGAAGCCTTATGCAGCCTGTATAACCTCGAGTTTTCAATCCTGCCTACAAGGTTCCTATAAAGCCCTTATCAAACCTCGACCTTTGTATTTAGGCCACGGTTTTGGGGGGTAGTATATTCAGAAAGTCTGATGGATACCATTCGAATCGTTCAGGCCCCTGATGTAGGAACTCGATTAAGAAACCCTGGGCCTTGATTAGGCTTCTTTATATGAATCCTACTATTTTGGGGTTCTAGGCCTAGTGTTTCTTAATCAGGTTCCTACATTATGTTAAATTGAGCTTCTGTGCTGGATTCCCGACCTGGTCTTGCAGTACGCAGCAAGACGTATTGGATGCACACGAAGAGCAACCCGTCGACGGCGCGGACCTTTCAAATCAAACGCGGCCTACACCGAAAGAACCCTATACTTAATTCAGACATCTACCTACACTCATAATCTTGAAGACCTGACAAATTGTGGTCGAGGGTATTGGGCTCTTTGGGTCTGTATTAAGGGCGCCTCAGCAACTAGCGGAAATCCTTCTGCTTCTTGCTCGTGCTGGTAATGTATCGCCCATCTGTCGGGTTTCTCTCTCAACCCATGCACACTTGTTGCTTGTACGTTTCTGTTCTACCAGAAAAGGACACCCATTAAAGCTGCCTCGAATAACACCCCCTCTGTAGAAAGGTTTGACAGGAATCCGAGGGCTCAGGCACGCACAGACAGATATGCATAGGTACATACATTACATTACATGACACTGCACTACTTTATAGTACATTACATTGCATCATTTTGTATTATAATATATTGTATTATAGTATATTTATGTCATGTCATATCATACTCGATTGTTTCATTTTGTCTTTTTATTGTATTGAACTACATAATATTATATTCTTTTGTATTATGCTATATCGTAATATGCTATGTTATATTATTCTATGATGTTTTGAATAAAATAACATTACTCTATCTAATAGGCATGTACATACAAAAACGCATAAACAGATATACATATATATATATAAACACACATACAAACATACATACATACATATATATATGCATACATACATACATACATACATACTATATAAATAAATAAATAAATAAATAAATAAATAAATATATATATATATATACACGTAATAAATAATAAAGAATAACAACAATAATAAACCAATAAAACACCACTAATACTTGATGAAAATAACATTTAATAATCATATAATAATAGCGGAGTGTGTGTATATATATATATATATACGTATACATATAGTTGTATTTAACTAACATTATATATATATATATATATATATATATATATACTGCACACACACAAACAAACATGTGCCAATAAACGTGCATTCCTTAGTTGCTGAGTGCCCGGGCCCAAGACAAGCTAAGCCGCAATGCATTGTAGAAGGACTATGAGCCGCCAAAAGTTGAAGCTTATCGGCTTAAACCCTCCCAAACCGTAAACCCCAAACACTGACCTTAAGCCCTAACCCTACAGCCTAAACCCATCAAGACAAGTTCAAACCAGGGCCCCGGCACTCTTGTGCCCATCTCAGCCACGTGACCGGCGGTTTGGTTGGCACTGGGCTACCGTTGGGGTTTAGGATTCTTTAGACTCACCAAGAAGTGTATAAGCTTGGGCGTATAGACCTTGAGGAATATGGGGTCATATGGGGTCCGTAGGGTTCGGGGTTTGGGGCTTTGTCGTGCAATGGCCTGTCGCGTGAGCGAGGTTGCCTCTGCTCTCTTCTACGCCTCTTGGGGTTTGCGGTGCTACTAACGTTGCCCGAACTAGGACCTAGGACAACCAGCTGCATTATAATGAAAGGCCTCTGCGGCCCTCACAAAAGTCATACACCACGCTCCGACTCAGGAGCTTGTGACGTGCAGATGTAGCATGCCTGAGCCACCAAATTCGCAAAAGCCAATGCACACTAAAGGACTTTCGACTTCGGGGTTTAGGGTTTAGGGTTTATATAACATAAGAGCTTAGGTTCTGTTTGTTGAACCCTCGTGTTTTTTGGCCGTTAGCTAAGGGCTGTGGGGTTTAGGGATTAAGACTTAGCCCCACACTGAGCTGATTATTGGCATCTTTAGACTTTAGTGCCGGAGAACCAAAGGCCCCAAGCCCTAAGCCGGCAAGGGAGGCAAACCCTGAACCCTAAAACCAAAACCCCAAACACAAACCCAAAACTTTCAAAGCTAGAACCTAAAACCCAAACCCAAAACTTTCAAACCTAGAACCTGATAAACAGTCAACCCCAAACCCCCTAAATCCTAAACCCTGAAGCCGGCACTCTCTTCTTTTGAAGGCTCAAAGCTCTGTCCGCTGTTCGTGAGCCGAAGGAATCAGCGAACCTGGGGCCGGTCCAAAACTACTTCTCATAGACTATTTTGTCGGCACTATGGTGTCTAATTCTACTATAGTATACACTGCTGCTTTCGTATATAATGCTACTGTAGTGTATAGGCCCGAAACTAATTGCTTCTCAAAGATCTTCTTGTCAGCTCCTTGTTATAATGATGCTATAACCCATATTGCTACTATGGTTGGGCCTTTGCTTAGAGGTTGCGGTGCTCGCTTTTTTCTTGGAAAGTCTTGGCTTGGGGTTGTGGGTTTGGGATTTGGTCCATGCCCAAAGGGTCCTAGGTATTGTTTTGGGGGATAAATAAACATGATAATTCCTGATATGGAAACCCTACATTCTAAAATTTATGTAGGTACTTTGGACCCTTTGTGATGTTCGGAAGGGTGTTGGGGTTTTCAGGGTTCCGGACATATTGCAAGGGTTTGGGGCCGCGGGTCCTAAACGGATTCAGTTTACCGCATGAGTTTAAAGTGTAGGCTTTGGGTGCAGGCCTGAGATGGAAACATGCGAGAAGCTTATGATCGCATCTGGACAGTTCTTCGAGGCTGGCTGCAGAAGCTGAACGACCACACCCTCAACCGTGTTGAGCTTTGCAGGAGCCTCGAAGCCTAGTCGCCGGAGGGGGGGGTCTTTAAGGGCTTCGCAAATGTCTACAGTTTAGGATGTAGGCTTCTGACGTGTGGACTTCAGAACTTAGGATTCTTCTCAAGCTCCCCACCGTTTGCCCTGTCTTGAATAGCACTGTATAAGAACAAACAGAATATGCACATATGTACACAGATGTGTGTGTGTGTGTGCATGTGTGTATATAATACATGCATATACATATATATATATATATATGTACTCGGTTATTGATATGCAACTTTCCGGCTACGAGCTTGGATAGTGCTTGCGCTGTAGGGTTTAGGACACGGCTACAAGGGATTGAAAGTTCGATTAAGGTACCTTCCTGAACAGCAGGACAAGGGTGTTGGGCTCTGTGTGTTCTCCTTGTATGGACCAGCCTGTTTTAGGGCATTTGCGAGAATAGGACATGGGCTTTGGGGAGCTGAGGAGAGACCTGCGGTCTAGGGGCCTTGGTGTACTGTAATACTTGCAACATCTTATTACCCTACATACAGAATGACACATGTTGGTACTTCTTCCGAACGTCTAGTACTCCACCAATCCAAAGTCTGCGGGTGTCTTGTACTTTTCCCGTGACGACAGCATCTGCAGGCGTCAACGTTTATTCATGTTCACCGCCCAGAGATGACACAATTTAGACTTCAAGAGCTTAGGCTTTCGGGACTTCAACCCCCAAAACCCCAACCGTGCACGCAATGCGCAACATGTGTAGGAGAACCTCATTCATGAGCTTTTTGAACGAGCTGAAACGTCCGAAAACACTCGCTTTGGAGTGAAGGGTTCGGAAACATCCAACTTCGGAATCAGCGTGCCGACAACATCTGGCGAGCCGCTTGTATACAGAGCACTGGTAGCCTTCAACATTTTGCGTCGAAACCTTTTTCCTAACCTGCAAGCCTGATGCATCCTTCAACCCTGAACCATGAACCTTAAACTCTGTAGCATATCTAGTTAAACCTGAAATTATGGCCGTAAATCTTGAACGATAGCCCCTATTTTCATACCCTACACCCTGAACCCTCAACCCAGCAAATTTACGAAATCCGGTAAACCTACCCAAAGGAAGGCCGGAAAAAAAGGGTGCCGGGGGGGTTCGTTTATAACCCCCAAGACATCTGGAAGTTTAGGGGTTTAGGGTTTCAAGCTTTAGGTTTCAGGGCTTTAGGGCTTCCAAGTTTTAGGGTTTAGGGCTTTAGGGCTGGATTCAAGGTTTACGGCTTTAGGATTGTACGTCACATGTCCTCGGTGGCGCAATTTTGGTGGACTAATGGGTATACTAAACACAAAATCCTAAATCCCTAAACCTTACATTATACTCGCAAGAGTTTTCGGATCGAAAAGGTGGTATGCACCCGTATGGGCTGCTAGATTTCACATGGCTAAAGCCTTGTAGGGAACCCCAAACTTTCTCCGTCTTGCAGAGTCTAGATTGGAAACTCCAGAAAAGGACTTTGTATTCTAAACCTAAAAAAAGAAAGGTTTCAAGGCTCCCTAGGAAGGCTCCACGAGGCCCTCGGCGGAGCTTTCGGGGCGCTCGAAGACGTAGAAGTGTGCACGCAGGTTGATCGTGGCCTTCGTCTGCAGGATTGGTGTGAGGTTTACCTTCAACTAACATAAGCCCACTTTTGGACTTTATGGTGGTGTGCAGGGCATGGTTCAGAGATTTGGGTTCAATCCTCAGTCTGCGGTCGAATGTGGGATTTAGGACATGCAGGCGAAAGGCTGCAGGGTGAAAGATGCAATCCGACGCGAACAAGTGCTTGTGCATAAACACTAACACGCACACACACACACACGCATACATGTGTGTATGTATGTATGTATGTATGTATGTATGTGTGTATATATATGTATATATTCATGCACATGCACACAAACACATAATTAAACGTTTCTTCACGCGGGAACACGCACATGCAAATTCATCGTACAACATCATATAACTAACCACAGAGTTTTACAAACAGAGCTATTCACATTCAGTCGATGTATGCATGCTGTCCTTACTCTTCTGAAGAATCCTGGTAAACGTGCCGATATAGTACATGCGCAGCAAGGTGTATATGAAGGAGAGAAGAGAGATGGGCACACACAAGTACAAATGCATCTGCCTCGCCATCGTCCATGATGAAAGGCGAGCCGTCTGCCAGCCTGAGCACTTCTAACGCAACACCATGCTCACCAGAATCACTTGAAATCTACTTTCAAGGTCATGATGTGGGGACATATCTTGCAGGACGTGGCCATAAGAAAGATAACCTCAACTAGGGACACCTCAGTAGCTCCCATGCTCTTCCAGAATAAAGTCCCTAAAACCTAGACCCTGAACCCCTATATGCCTAAATGCTCAACCTTAAACCCCTAAATCCAAGCCCCTACACCCTGAAACCCAAACTCATCAATCCTAAACCCATAAAAAACTCTAACACCCCTAAATCCTGAAACCCAAACCCCTACTTCCTAAACCCTGAAAATCGCTAACCCTGACCTTCTGAGATGCAGCTCAGCTGCACAGTCCAGCTGCCTTTGAAGGCTTCAAGGACATCCTCAATCCAGGGGGGCTCCGTTTATGTGGGATTTCGGGTTCGGAGAGTAGGGCTTAGAGTTGAAAGTCCTAAAGGACTTGAACCCGAAGCCCTCGCCATAAAGTCGCCTTCGCTGGCGGGACCCCGGAGACCATGACCATGCGCCCACCTCACGGCTACGGTTTAGGCATTTTAAGTTTTCTGGTCTAGGGCCAAGGTCTAGGAATGGTCAGGTTTTTGAACGGGTTGTATAGCAGGGTTTACAAGGCTTTGCCAGGATTGTGTGCATTTCGAAAAAGGGTCCAGAAGGACTTAAGTTCCAATTTTCAGGGTTTTAAGCTTTTTCCCGAAACTCCCAGTGTTCGGCCTAGAGCCAGGCTTGTAGAAGCTTCAGGGAATGTGCTTGAGGGCTTCAAGATCTCTGTCTTAATTCAGAAAGTCTAGCTTTAGGGTTTGAGTCTGTCGTGGCTTTGGGCAGAAAATGAGATGAAGACCTCTGTCACTGTTATTGTTCCTTTTGAGCGCAGGTAGGATATGGTAGGGCAACAGAACATCAAGTACTGGGCATCCCCATGGCGTATCTCACGGCCCGAGGCTGTTGGTTCTTTGTCTTCTCGGTCCGGGTATAGAATGTGGTGCAGGGATTACAAAGCTCCTACAAAGTCAAGAAGCGGGTCATCGGGGTTATATGATTGTCTTCACAACGATCTTGCATTGAACCCATCACTACCCAAGCCCCGAAGCCTTCAAAGCAATGCAATAAACTGTAAAGGCACTGGAAGCTTACCCACCCAAATCACCCGAACAAAAACCCAAAACATCTACATATGATATCTTAAGCCTTACATCCTGTAGAACCTGGGCCCCTGATGCTAACACTGAGAGGCCTGGTCGAAGGATTCGATGCATCTCGCGCACAGCAGCTGCCACCGAAGCCGGGCCTGTCTCCAAGAAGGCAAAGGGGTCTTGGGGGTTGAGGGTTTAGGGTTTTACAAGCTTCGAGGTTTATTTAGGGTTGAAGAAAGGTTTGGGCTTTAGGCTTCAGGGAGCTTCCTCCTTAAAAGGGTTTTGCAGGTGTGCTTATCGGGTTTTGGAGGCCTGTCCCCCAAAAGTCCGTCGCGTCTGGGGGTTTGCGATTTAGTGCTTCGATCAGGCTTAGATAGGAGGGTTTATAGAGCTTGGGGTTCTTTGGTTTAAAGTTTAGGGTTACTTGTTTTGCTGGGGTCCTGTAAGCTTGAAAAAGTAGGGTATACGGTTCCGGGAGCTTCCTGCTCGCGAGGTTTTTGCAAAGGGTTTACAGAGTTTTACAGCGTTTCAGTGTTGTGTAGGGTATTGAAGCCTGAACTGTTGAATGCTTAACCGTGCACAAGGGCTTACAAGGATGTCACGTGGTTATGTATAAAGGTTTATAAGGCTTGAGAAGGCTTTCATTGGGCTCTTATGTCTTAGGGTTCAGCAGGGAATGCTTGGGCTGTATTTTAAGGGCTTCACCTACGGGATTCTACACGGGCCTTCAGGTTTAGGGTGAAAAACGACTAATTACTTCAATCAAAAAACCCTACACTCTGAAATCCTGTCAACGGGATGCCATTGAAATAAACGCACCGACTATTCGGATTTATTTCAGAGGGGGCTGCCTCGGGTCTTTAGTCATCCGATCCTGCCTGCACAGAACAGCGCGTCCATAGTGCCTTTGTCCTCAGATGTTCGCGGACAAGGTTCAACGTGTGCGAAAAGAGTGAGCCGGTGTGGCGCAGAGTTTAGCATAGAAATCGTGCATGTAGCGCATACCCTAATTCAATGAACATACTTACTGGCTTCCCACAATGCAGAACGGGTACTACGAAGGCTGGAAACTCTTCCGAAAACCCTGTGATGAATGAACCCTACACTCGTTGCAAGACAGTTAGCTCTGAAACGTAAACCCTCAATACACATGTGTCCGCACCGGCGCAAGTGACCGCACAACCAATCAATGCTCGATACTCTCAACATCCATGAGCAAAATTCAATCCACTGGTTTAGGGTTTAGAGTTTGGAGGAGTTCAGCTTGAAACTCCAAGAATTTTCCCGAGGTGCTAGGACCAAGTCGAAGGTGGCAGTCGGGAAGTCCTTCCGGATGCTTTGCGCCCTACAGCCTACACCCCAAAAGCATTAAACACCGAATGTCTAAATCCTACACCATTTCTCTTGGAGGCCTCCAAAGGCGGGATGAAGGTGGGCAGGGTTCTGCCTCACTTATATAACTAATGACGATAATTCTCGGAGTACCCCGCCTAGCTTCATCCAACCCTCGGAGCCTGTGATTCTCGAAACCTTGCGTCAAGTTAGGCAGTGGGGCAGTTAGGGTGTGCACATCCTGTGTTGGATTTGATGAAGCGGTGCAGTGGTGACCCCCAGTTTCCAGGGAAGATCGTACATGTAGGGTGCAGGGTTTTGGTGGAAAGCTGTGAGGCACGCGGCCTCTTCAGAGAGCTGAGTGAGGTCGGCCACAGCCCAGTTCATGACCTCGGCTTGGGGCTGGATAGTTAGGGTGCGGGGCTTTGGGCTTCTCAGGTTTAGGACTTGAAGAGTTAGGGGTCCCGGGCTCTATTCCTGAGTTTAGGGTTTGGGGTTGAGGGTTCAGGATGTGGGGTGAGATTTATCGCAATGATCGACTTTGTGATATGGGGTTCGAGGTTAAGGGTTAAGGGCTTCCGGTGCGGGCCACAGACGGCTCTGGATGGCCAGTGGCCGTCCCGCTTGCGCCGCCTCTAGGCTACCAGCAACTAAGGTACGATGCAGAAACCCACGCCTTAGCCTAAAGAAATCTCAGGATGAGAACCGGTGAAGCTTCTACACTCGACTTCAATGACCGCGGCTTGCAGCTCAGAATGCTGCACAATTGCTCTTCAAATCAAGTGTGTCAGGATTTCCGTGGTTTTTCCTAAAAAGTGAATCCGAAAGCAAAGCTGACTCCCTGGAACTCATCATCCTGGGCCCCGAGGACCTTAGGGCTCCTTTCAGGGTTCCTTTAACGGGACACCCCAATAGGGGATCCATGAAGGAACCGTTTGATTAAGGGGTCCTTTAAGGGTTCTGTTTAATTTTAGAGAGACGCGAAAGGTTCTTTAGGGGTTTGGCCCCGTGACTCTTTCCTATTCCCAGGCTCCCGACCCTTCCTTCGGCGACGCCTTTTAGGCGCTGCAAAGCAGCCTCAGCACTTCCCGTGGCTGAAGCTGGGGTTTAGATTTGGTTTAGGGCTCGAGATCACTCGAGATCTGTCTATTGCAGCAGAGCAAAAGATCCCGTACGAGTGATTTGAAGATTGATTTCTTGATTTGATATCGGTCAGCTCTGGGCTCAGGGTTTACGATCTTGTAAGAGTTTCGCTCAGTAAGTGCTCTTGCCTCGGCATAGTCCACATTCCAGATGTCCACCGGGAGGCGTTCGCTGGCCACCAGATCATCATAGACTTCCTAGGTAAGTAAGATCATCATAGACTTCCTAGGTAAGTAGGAATAGTATTTGGGGTTGGGCTTAGGGTTACGCAAGGGTTTAGGGGTTTCGGGGTTTGCGGATTAGGTTTTAGGGTAACGTGTAGGATTTATCATAAACCTCCTTGGCAGGCCAATCTAAGACAGTGCTTGGGGGATCGGGCAGATGCGCCTGGGATATCGGCCTTTCATCATGCAAAATGGTCACTGATCATGTGTAGAGTGTAGAGAGGCAGGTACACACGTTGCCAAATGTACTGACATACGTACATACATACATACATACATACATACATACATACATAGAAATGTGATTTTAATATGCACATGAGCATTACATGTATAACTTAGATGACTTGCATAACTCTCTCCCTCACAAACTAGGCACAGCAGCATCAACCAACGTTTTCCGCACACGCCAAATGCGGAGAACAAAAACTAACAAGCACAAGCAAGCTATGCAAATCCTAAACCCTGGAACCTGAAACCTTCACCCTGAACCCTCAGTTTCCAAGGGCTGCCTCTGAAACTTGATGGTGTTGGGGCATTCGCCTTTTAGCGCCTTGGCGCTCTAGCTGTAGTCAATAGCATCTTTGCAAGGAGCAAACTGCAGCCAAACCTTCTTGATCATCTTGCCGCTTGCTGGAACACTGGCCGAATTCGGCTCCTCCTCCTCCTCCTCCTCCTTCTCCTGCTCCTCCTCTAGTCGATTGATGCTCTGAGTGCCTCGAGGGTTTCAAAGATGATTCCTCATGCTGCTGTTAGTGTGGTGCTCGTTGCTGCTATGAGCTATCAGGACATATCACAACAACTATGTCGTGCATGTTGCAATGGTCTCCGTCGTCACAAGCAGTAAAGCTCCATCACCAGCAACACAAACGAATCCAAGCACAGTTACGAAGCTCAGCTTGGAATTCCCGCAGCCAGCCATCAGCAGCCGGGTCGTGTTTGTCCTGGAACGTTCGCAACAACCAGGTGCGTTTACAGCGTGTCCGGCTGTGACTGTGACCAGTGTGCTTTCGTCTTGAACCTACTAGTCTGCGTGAGCCGCCATCTCCCACTCCATGCTGCTGCAGCGCTTCTTTGCCGCCGATTCTACCCTCTATTACCCTTCGGCCACCACTGCTGCTGCAAATACGGATAGAAACAACAACAACCAACGTCTGAAGTCAGCATTTCAGTTCGCAAATTCGAGACAAAAGCTTTGCCTTGAATATGCAGAATAAGAGCCAATAAAAGCAGTAGCAGTAGGGACAAAGAAAATGCCACGAATCATGCTTGGCAGTAGCAGATGCCACACTGGCATCCAGAAGAACTCTCACGGAATTGGAAAGCCTAGCAGTCCCTTCGCAGGCTCTCGGCACCTTGCTAGCAAGACCGCCAGATGCTATCAGCCAGCTTGAACCTAAAACCCTATAGAACTTGTTATAAAACCCTAGCCTTAACCCCTGTACAATTCTGACCTCTATGACCGTAATGCTTAAACCCTGGACCCTCCCCGAATTGCTGGCCTGCAAGCCCTGATCAAACCGCTAGCCAGAAACCCAGCAAGAACGGCAGGCGTTCTCCCTTGCAGTTCAGGTGCCAGCTTCGGGTTTACCCTGCTTTTGCTCGGTATCAGGTCGTTTTGTATATGTTCCGAATTCCTTTGCAGGAGGAAATTGCCAGAATTGCTGGGGTTGGCTCGGCTCGGCTGGGTGTATCCCGATCCTGCAAGAACATTACCGACGCGTAGGAGGCAAAACAACTCGATACCCTTGATCCCCGGATTTCCTGGAGATCAAGGAATCGGCAAAGTGCCGGAAGAATGGGCGCAGGTCCTGCCGCATGAGAAACTCTGTAGAAGCTGAACAGCTGAACATGAAGGGAACAGTTAAGGACTGGAGAGTGAACCCCAAATAACCTACCTTTTTTCGGACCTCCATATGTAAAGAAATCAGATTAGGGAACCCGAAAAAAAGTAGGTTATCTGGGGTCCAGGGTCCAGGACTCTAGGAAGTTGAGGCCATGCACAGCTCTGGATTTCGATGTGCTGTCCGTCCCGGTTGTTCTCTTCCCCCACTGTGCCGTCCACACCTGGTGGGCTTTGATGTGCAAGGTCTCCAGATGAAGGAAGCTGCTAGCTGCTAATCACAACTAAGGAGTCTTCTCGTCCTTGGCTTCCAAGGGTTTACATTGCTTCTCGACCGGTTCTGGGCCGCAGTTACCCGGACTTCCACCGTTCATTTGCAACCACTTGCAGGGAAACTCCAGCCCCTGAGAAGTGATGGTATGAGCTTGACTGATTATGGCCTGCATCGTGATCAAGATGAACATGATGATCCGATGATGATGCTGGGCATCTTTATGGCATGCTGCTCGCCTTGCAATGGTTACTATGTCAATGTGCTGAAATGCTGCGTGCTGATAAACCCTAGGCCCCCTAAACCCTAAACCCCCTACCCCCTAAAACCCTAGACCCCCTACACCCTAAAACCCTAAACCTGTTTGCATAAATCCCAAATCCTAGTTTGTTGCATCCGGGTCCTCGTAGCCACAGAACCACTCAAACTCTTCTGCGTCAGCCTCACAACACGTCGCGTTCACGACCCTACATGAAGGGACCTCTCACAGGGCCCCGAGCTGCGGTTTAGGGTCCAGGGTTGGGGGTTTAGGGCTTAGAAGACATCCTCAAGTCTATCTCCAGACTGACAGAAACCCCAAGCTCTTAGCCCTGCCAAACCAGTGCAGGCCTCTACCAGACACGGCCTTCCACTGGGTCAATGAAGAACACCATTGTCGCTATTGTGGCCCAGAAAAGCCCTTATGGACTACTCTCTCGTCTTAAAAGCCCTTACCTTTGAAGTTCTTTAAGTCTTTAGACTCCCCATGTCCTGTTGGTTGTTTTGTTGAAACTCGGAGAAACTCACAGCGAACGTAGTCTCAAAAGTATTCATGAAAAGGCCACAAGGGACATTACCAGGTTTCCCAGCGTGCCACCTACAACTAAGCCCTGAGACATTAAAACCACCAAACCGTACAACCCTCAACCCTCAAACCCTAAGCCCTAAACCCCTGAACACTCAAAACTTTCTCTAGAAACCCTCAAAACCCTGTGAAGCGCGCAGGGGCTTGATCTTTGCCAAGGATCCGTGTCGCCCGAGTAAAACTCTTCCCAATATCTTTGGGTGCCTTAGGGGTTTGGGGTTTTGGGTTCGGTGTTTCAGATTTGGAGTTAAGGGGGTTTGAGCGCTGCACTCAGGGGCATAAGGAATCAGGGAAGGAGGGTTTAGGATGGTTTAAGCTTTCGGGTGTAGGACCGAGGGACTTAGTTCAACTGGGATACGGGAACAGTGAGTTCTGAAGCCTTGGGAAGGTCAGGAAGCGAGGTAGGGATCTGAGGAGGTGAGGCGTCTTAACTTCCACAATCCGGAACTTCAGCCCTTCGTAACATCCCTGAATATGACGACGAACTTTCCCAGAGGCTCCACGCAGACTACCATTATGGAATTAGGTCCGAAAAGATAGACCCTATTATGGTTTTTGGGACCGAGTTTCTGAATTGTAGTGCATATGGAATGTGTGGGTAATGACGATCCTAGACCCCAAACCCTAAACCCTCAGCCCTAAACCCAAACCCCTGAACCGTTTGGGTCTGATATACTCTAATGTACAGACTCTTCTTGCGCGGGTTGGGGGGCTCGACTCGAGCTGATGGGCCTTACTGCTCGGCGCGCGCGAGGTTTGTTTTTTTTTCCTCTGTGTTTGGGGTTTAGGGTTTGTCTTGGGATCATCCAACCCAAGCCAGGTAAGCCCCATGCACACAAGACATAAGGGTAAAGGCTCTATACTAGGACCAAAGCCTTCAGTGAAATCTCACAGTCCCATCTTGTCAAAGATTCCAAGCGCTGTCTATCCATCGATCTATCTTTCTACCTTTCTTCTGATGTCTATCTGTCTATCTGTCGGTGTTTAGACATGTGTATATATATATATATATATATATATATGTATGTATATGTATACATACACATACATACACATTGTATGAATATGTGTGCGGATGTACTTGTTTATTGCTTGGTATTTATGTATATACTCACAGATTTCTACAGATATATCCTAAGTCCAAAGTCTTTAAGCTTCGACAGGGACGTAACTTGGGGACTCCAGAGTCCCTACAGCCTCCCCCGCTCACAGCATCCCGCTTGAAGCTAAGTTGAGGGCCGAACGTCTGCGCTCTCCTCGTCGTCCGCGCTAAGCGGGCCGGGTAGGCAAAAGCCTCTGGCGTGGTTCTTACGATTGAGAGGGTAGGGATCCTCAAAACGCTTTGGGAGGGAGACTCTTTGAGATCAAATTCTGGGCATCCGATCGCTACCGTGCTTCGGATAGGGGTTGACCAGGTTCATTGGGTTTGTGTTTCTTTTTTCATATTTGACCTCTAGCAGTTGTGGCTTTTTGGATCTTAGGCTACATTTTCGGGCTTGGGTGATTCAAAGTTTGAGCTTGGGAAAGCTTGTAGCAAAATCCTGAAATCAGGGTGCTGCTACAAGTTTTCCGACAGGTCAAGTTAGAAGTTCGCAGACATCTTGAAGGAACAACTCCAAGCCGTATAACGGCAGGATGCCATATTCGGGGTCTCAGACGTATTTGCGATCAAAGCCCGAAAATCCCCAAGCCGTAAGTCCTGCCTGGTGATAGCCATCGGTCGACCACAGAGCGGAAATCCTCGGATGTGGGAAGTAGCAGGTGCAAGTAGCACGAGAAGCCCAGAAAACCACGAGGCGGGTTGCTCTCTTTGAAAGGCCACGACAGCAAGAATGGCAACCTTGCAAGCCAAGGACTCGTAATAAGGCATCCGTAATTTTCTGAAGCCTTCAAATGACCCACAGCCCATCTGCCCGAACGAAGTCTTGCGCTGAGAAGCCAAGGCCATGCCGCGAAAAGCGCGAGGAGGCCAAACAATCCTGTGCTGCGGAAATTTAGGGCTTTGTGTGACTTGCTCGTGTTGTTCTAGCGCACTGCTGTTGATGATACAAATCCTGCATCATCCAGAATAAGGCATATACCTCAATTCCCATAGTTTAGGGTCATTCAGGTATTGCAGGATTTGTATCATCAACCGCGGGACTCTGATCAGGCTGCAGTGTTTGACTCTCTACACCAGCCTAGTACAACGTCCTTCCCAAAGAAGCTCCAAATTTGTTTTTTAAGCTTGGCAGTAAAGCCAAGAATCTGGGCCCTAAAACCCAAAGAAGCCGAAAGTCTGCTCCCAAAAAGCCCCACCCTTGAGACCTTCTTTGCCGAGTCACTCGTTTGCGGCCGCCGCTGCATCAGCGGCTCCATGGCGGACTTGCAGCCATGGAGGCCCAGCAAGCCCCAGAAAATGTTGAATGTTGGGTTTTAGGTTAGGGGTCTGGGGTCGGGTTTATGATTTACGCCCTAGCGTTGAGAGATTGTGTATAGCTTCATCGCATCGGGCTTCGGTGACAAAGGCGCCTTGACTATACCTGACTACTCATACGGATTTAAGGCGCAGGGTTCAGGGTCTGGGGCTTGGGAGTCTGGGCGCGAAGTCCACATCGCGCAGTCTTCGGGCTTGAAGGCTCAGGGTTCAAGATGTGGGGCCACGGACGGAACGGCAAAGCACCACAAACCCTATATCCTAAACCGACGTGGTGGATCAGGGTGCGCCGAAACCCAATGCCCTATCAATTGTATTACGGAACCCTAAGGAATAGCGCTTGTAATCTACTCCGCTTCTTTTTTACATCATGGCTGCAAGGGGAGTTCAAGGCCCCGGCAGCTTGGGCCCGTTCCGAAAAAGAGTCTGGAAGCCCCAACATAAACCCAAAACCCTATTGACCCTATAAACCCTAAACCCTAAACCCTGAAATCCCTAACCCAGAAATCCCTAAACAGCATGCTAAGTCCGGGGCAGTCTTTGGCCCAGGCGCCTTCTTGGGGCTGCCATCGATGGTCCCAGAAGCCTTTTCGTCATCTCTCTTTTCCTTTTTTGTTAGACAGGGTTTTTTTAACATGTACTGACGTGTCTTTCTGCGAAGCAACGTTAGACAGGGTTTAGGGCATAGGGTCTGGGGTTTAGGGATTACGGTTTAGGGCATAGGTTTAGGGTTTAGGTTTCTTTAGGGCCATCTAGTTGGTTCAGGGCTTAGGGTCATCTATTTGGTGTAGGGTCATCTTTCTCACGTGTAGCGCTTGGGGTTTAGAGTTATCTGCTTCGTGTAAAGTTTGGGGCTTAGCTAAGCTAGGTTGGGGAACTGGGGGGCAGTCGTTAGTTGCTTCTGCTGCTTTGGGGCTCGGGCTCGAGTGTTTAGCTTTGATTCTCTGGCATCGGGTGTGCGGTTTTGCTGAAAGGGCCTCATTGCTAGGCTTTTGGTCAGCACGCTATGCTTGAGGGACAATGATACCAATGATTACAGACTTCCATAAGGTCACGTCCGTTTGCCTCCGTTGAGGACATCTAGCAGATCCAGGTCCGAGGGTTTCTATGAGTTTAGTATTGGGGTATATATGGGTGGTTGTCAAAATTAGGGTCCCTTTTTGGGTCCCTAATATAGTACGGCACCTAATATTTAGGGTATCCAAAAAGGGGCCCTAATATTGACAACCACCCTCTAGGGTATAGGACGCAAGGTTCAGGGCTTACGGGTTTAAGCTGATACTTCTGCTATGGGAGCCCAAGAGCAAGCACTACGTAGGAGCGGAAGTGGTTCTGGTTTGGGGCTGGAGACCTCGGGAGCTTTAGTCTAATATAGGGGCCTCAAGTGGTTAGAATAGGGTTTCGGGGGTATCTTATACTATAATGATAATTGTGAAGAACCCCCAGTATAGTATAGGTGATTAATACGGCCCCTCTATTTTACTGTGAGGCTTTAGGGTTGAGGTTTGGACTTAACAGCAAGGCGGTTATGAGTAGAGTGATAAGGAGTATGACTTTGATTTTTCCGCATTGCAGGGGGTGTTGCAGGAGGGCCGTTGAAGCGTTCCATGAGGATTTCGTTTCCCGCTGCCACTCACGCCGCAACCTGTTGACTGGGAAACAACTTGTGGCTTGGGCATGTTTGCGCCTCGAGGCTATAGACTATTTAGTCTACGCCTGGTGGGTGATTCGGCTGTGCCACTCAGTTTGCAAGCTCCTAAGTCCTAAGCAGGGGAAAGAAACATCATCCCAAGAACTGTCGCAACCCCAAAAGCCCTTAGCAACAACATAAACCAAAAAACACCAAATGACAAAAGCCTTTCAAGCCCCAAAGCCTGCCGCGAGATATCCTCCAGGTCCGAATCTCCGTGTCTCCTCTTGTTGAGGGTTTAAGGTTCACATAGGGTTTAGGGCTTATGGACAAAGCATAAGCTGTACGGCTAGGAACATAAGTTGAAACACCACACCCTAGAACCCAATAGAACCTGTATAAAACATCTCATTCCGCTATGGCAGCCTGAAGACAACTCCAGCCCCGATTATTCGTCATCCACGCACCTTTTTGCAGAGGTTAGGTATTGCTCGTCGATTGATTTAAGGTTTGAGGCCTAACAGTTAACATAAAGTTTGGGAGTGTCGGGGACTGGAACGCACGTACCGGGCCAACTCGCGACATGACTGGATCTTTCAAGAGTGTCCTCAACGTCCAGAACGACGTAGTCTGGGAGGAGATGCGTCAACGGCTGCCTGTCGACAGCCGAAGCCCGATCTCAAAGTAAACTCACATTCGCCTCGCTGACATTAGACCATGTTTTAAAGATGCGTTGTGCCTTTAACTCTCCAAAAATAGCTGTAGCTTGGGGACCTGCAGGTTTGTCATATCGTATATACCACTTGTAGAAACTCTTGAATAGCCATAATGACGAGGTGACGAAAAAACAGAGGAACGACTAAGCCGACCCTAACCTCAGAAACCGAACGGCCTAAATGACGAAACTAAGGACTGAAGTAACAGCACGACTTCTTAAGTGCAGTCTACCCAGTAGTCTACCCTGACTTGTTCTGAAGTACCGTCACCCGGTCATCTCGGGTTGAGGGTTGTCGGGTCTTCGAATATATCAGTAATTTACACTTCGCCGCCTTTTTCATACACGCGCAAGACGAAAAAATCCATCTTACGCGAATGTGGCCATGGAAGCGTACACTGAGGTGCGGACCGTTGCAACATGCACGGCCCTAAACCCTAAAAATTCAATCCTAAACCCTACAGGGAACCCGAACGCTTGAAAACCTCAATTTACTATTTACTCTACGGCTCTTAGCGATCTCCCTAGTTGAGGACCGCAATCCCCTAAAGAACTATTCTAAGGTTTAAGGTTTTGGGCTTTTGTTTAGATGTCTATTTCCCTCCTTACCCGCAACGTCGGTGCGAACCCGCCGAAGCGAGAGGCAATCTGGAGCCCGTCGGCCCAGCAAGAAAACCGACAGCACCGAAGCTCGTGAGTGTCAAAATGCATCCCCCTGGAGATCAGAGGGCGTGACTGCAATATTGGGTGCGACACTATGGAAATAAACACAACACCTAGATTGTCTTCGCATCCAAAACCTGAGCCGCACATACTGTATCTTGCAGTGCTCTCGAAAATAAACGCGGTGATTTATAAACACGATCTTGATATTTAAACATAACCTTGTATCTTAAGCATGGTTTTTATGTTTTTAACCATGTTCACCTTTTTTGAACACGAACTTTTAAACACAGCCATGCAATCTTATGGTCACCAACCTTGAAATAACAATACACATGTTTAGACACGATTAAACATGCCAATGTTGATCGGTTCTACGGGACAGTTCAAGTGCACTCAAAGAGAAAAACATGCGTGGTCAAGATCAACATAAGGTGACATCAGCAACCAGCTTCCCTTTGAGGTACGCACAAATTCGAACATGTCAGAAATTTCGCATGCAGAATACGACGATGTACCACCAGAGTCACACGTCTGTGAGGTCGGTGAAAGAAGATGCAGGCAGACTACACAAGCTAAACAAGCATGGCACATGCGAGTTTTCCAACGCGGGTCATCTTCTTCCGAAGTGCGGTGCACGATTCTAGGGCCTGTAATGCCCCGAACCACTGTAACCGCAGCAGGACTTGAGGGTTACACAGACCAGCCTTTCGAGCAGGCTTGCCAAACTTGCTTGGCCTGGCGGTTGTTGGATTCGTCGCTGCACACCTCAAAAACCGGCGGAACGTCTCCGCGCTGCACGTGCTCTGGCATGTGCAAAGTAGTGAAACTTTGGGTAGGATGGAAACCCACAGTGCACAATGATGCATATGTGCAGCAGCCACACACCTCTGTCGGGACAGTCCCGTGAACTAAATTCGGGCTGTTTCGCCAAGGAAAACAATTCTGTCAAAGGGGCCATTGCTTCGCATCTGCGCTCACCTAAAGTGCCGTCCAATGCAGAAAACTCTTTGGCCAGCCCCGCCGTGAAATCAACTAGAGACCGTGCCTGGCCAGCTTTGGCTTTGAGCGTTTGGGCTCGCTTGCATTTCAAAGACCTCAACAAAAACCGCCCTAGCGGAATTCTACTTGACACCTTTGAGCTCCTCTAGAAGCTGAGCCGATCTTTGAGGCCCAGCAACCCTCTTTGTTGCCAATCTCCTCTTGCATGACAGTCCCCAGCCAGATGAGGCAAGGAAAACCAAGTGGCCACGACATCGTCTTCAAGATCCCACATAGAAATAGATACCACGGAAGGTCCACGGAGCAAGGCGTCCCCAAAGCCGACCACTGGCACCTTGCTCATCTGGCTCACTTCGGCGGCAGCAACTGCGAAAGCCGCGCCGAAGGGGGACGGAGCGACTCCTGTTCATGGACCAGGATTTGTAACATGCTTTGCATTAGCGCATATACCGACAAGGTTCGTCATCGCGGATTGTCGGGTATGCCGTGGATCGCACGGATGTAAATAGAAGGCGCTGCCTCCAAAAACGTAGAGTTGCTTCGCAGCCGCACA